CGCCATTTGACAGAGACTTTAGGGTTCTCCATTTCAGATGAAGTAGTCACTTGGAGAACTGGAAAAATCAGAAAAACAAGGCAGTGATTCAGGCAGATGCTGGCATCTCAATTAAATCATTAGAGAATGGAAAAGTAATAATCAGAATTTGTGCTATACTGAACAATTGATAATAATTGTCTTATCGAAGGACTGGTTTTGCTTTGTCCTTCATGGCAATTTGTCTCTCCTCGATTTCCCCTGCACAGTATAAGCACTGGCTTATTATGTGACACTTTTATCACAACAACATGCTATTTTACCCTTACATAATCTAACTCAACAATGGAACACTGGTCATCGAACTATCACTGTCATGGAGAAGAATGCTTTATTATTTGTAAAGGTGAATAATGATTGCCAGCTAAAGGCCTGAAATTCTTTCATAAGCCTTCACCTTCATTTTGTCTGGAATATTTAAGGTGGTGCGGAATTGGGGAAAATTGTTAAATTAAATCTTTCCAAAGAATGGCTCCTAAATTAAGGCTCAGTTTAAAATGTTTCGCAATTCTGCACGCGCTTAAATTTTAAGACCGAATAGTCTTGAACAAGCATTACACAGGACCTTTATTGTTGTAAGTTTAGCAGAATAGAATTGTATATATGTATATATATTTGTATATATTTGTTATATAATATAATTTATATAACAAATATATACAATATAATTTATTATATTATAGAGAGATAGATATTAAGAGGAAATGATAGTTGAATAGGACACCCTTTGAAAGAGTGAATCGCTCTTTCAAAGAGCATAGACACAATGGGTCAAACGTGTCTGTTTTGTGCTGTAAATTTTTTGCGTTCTGGATATTGATTCTTTCAGGGGTGAAGTTTGGGCTCATCGAGCTAAGATACATTGGTGCTGGTTAACTGAACACTTTCCTAATTCAGGCAGCAAAGCATCAGCATTTAAGCATCCTCTGTGCCAGGATGATTAGATGCATAGCGCACTCTATTTATACACACCCACAATGTGCCTCAGCTGTGCTTAGGGCATTTGCAGCACCTCAATCGGTGTCCAATTTGAGATCAGCTAAGTCAAAACAGATCTGCAATTGAACTCTCAACTGTCAGTGATCCGTGGCTTAGTGCTAAGAGGAGTTCTGTACGATATCTTTGACTTTAAGTTGCATTCTGCTCTTAACATATTTCAACATACATCTTACCAGTCTTGACTTCCACACCTTTTCTCACCAAGTCTGCTGGAAGAAGACCTCTCTTTCATTGTATATTTGAGATGGCTTTTGGACAATGGTAAAACTAGACCCTCAATAGAGCAAGTGGAATATTTTGGAGCTTGTTTAATCATATGAAATAACGTAGCAGGAAACAAATTATCATTACGATGGGAAATTATTTCTGCTGCCAAGCTATGCCAGAGTTTTCCTTCTCCAACCCAATGTTGATTTATGGGTTACATAAAAGAGCTCATACATTCCATCATTCACAGCAAATGAATTTCATGATTATCAATTTCCGCATCAAATGAATTATTTGCTGCTCACTTCATCTTGCAAATGAATTCCACTTGCTCCTCATTGTTCTTGCCTGATGAATTTCTTACCAGCGAAAGGAGTCGTGGCTTGGGGGGTGGGGGGGGGGGGGGGGCGGTGGAGGGTGGGAAGGAACTACAAATTAGAGAACTCAGAACAAAGCCACTGTAATTTAATGGAACAGTGATGAAGAGAATGGGGACCTTGAGCTGTCCATGGAAAAGAAATAACAATAAAAAAACTGATTTATTAGAGTCATTGGAAAACCATTAAAGGATTTTCTTGATAAACATTCTTCAACTGAATCCATGTGGGGGTCAAATTAATTTGGCTCTTGTAAGTGCTGTGAATCAGATTTTGCTGATTGTTGTGTTGGGCACAGAAATGTACCCCTCACACAAAGAAAAGTGGGAGGTGGGAGAATGTGGCATTGAATATGATAGCAATTAACACGGGTGATAATTATCATATCACACACTGATTTTTTTTTCCTCATCCAAGATGTCCATAGACTGTGACAAGGGATGTACAAAGCCACAAAAATGTGATTTGAAGTATAACCTTTTACTCAAACCAGTGAAAGCCACTTTTGATTCTGAACTGTTCTAAGTTCCAAACGCCGGTTTTGGTTGTCTGGGAATTTATTTTGATGCGTACACTGTGCCTCTTGTAAATATAGCATGGACCATGCACAGAGAGATACAGCTTCTCATTGCACATCTCCTTGCACTCAAAAGCAATCTGTGAACCGCATCGACAGCCAGAAAGTAAATGGGTGTTGAGGGGTTGGTGGCAGGGCAGGATCCAGGAATTCAAAGATTTGTCAAGATCAAATAAATTGGTGAATCGACCTCCATGGGCTGAATGGCCTCCTCCTGTTCCTGCTTACCTAAGTTTTTTATGGTGATTGTTCTGGTGTCTGCTGAGTTGTCTTGTGGAACAGAGGGAATGGTTGGGGTTCCCTAATGGTGGAAGGAGAGGGAGGTATGTTCCATTCAGAATTCATAGATTGTCTCAAGGTCGAATCAGGGGGAACAATTTATTTTGCTATTGACTGTCTGAAGGTGTTAACTCCCAAATTCCCTTGATTTATTGTATTTTGTATACTCTATATACTCTCAACAAAATGAACCTACACCAAGTCCCTGAATTCTTCCTAACATTCATCCATAGTTCTTTTTCTACAAAATTCAAGTAAAGGAGCTTAGAATCCATTAAACTGGGGAGTATTAGCCTCGATTGCAAAACTGAATAGGAATTGAGTGGATTCTAGGACCATGCAGAAACCCCCTTTCGCTATGTGAGAAAGTCTTATTTAAAGTTAAATCCTTTTGCGATGGCAACAAGATTCGAGACGTCAGTGATTATTTGCATAACTATCTATTTGAAGTACTGCATGTTAAATAATTAACCAACTTACTTACACCAGACTGTTCGGTCAAAGTTACGTTTTAGAGGAATGAAAACACTTTGGCTCTTTGTAAATTGTCGAGTGAAGTGTGCCTTCTGCTTTGGTATTTTATCATCTCTTGCTTTGCTGCAATTATTTTTTTAGAAAAGTCTCTGAACTAAAAGAGGCTCATCTTTTTTATTTTGCCTTCCCAATTTTTTTCTCAATTGTCGAAGAAGGCACATTGGGGTATAGGAATCCTCTGGTACATAAGAATGTAAGAATTGCTAGACAAAAAAAGACCAAGGTACATCCAGTTCGACTTCCACCATTCAGGCAGTCGCATACACATATCATGTCCCAAACTGTATACTGTATCCCAAGATATTATTTCCTAACAGAAATCTATCCAAGTTGCTACCTCATCCAAGCTCTCTTCATCTGCAAATCTATCGACAAAGAGGCTTGGCAGATTGTTTAACTGGTGCAGAGAAGAGGATGGGACAAAGTTGATAAGAGACATTGAATGAGAGAGTGGCTTTGCACCTACTTGACGAAATCTATAATAATAATCCTTGCATTTGATATAGCGCTTTTCAAGTCCTCGAGACGTCTCAAAGCACTTCACGGAATATACTGTAAAGTGAATTGACTGTATATTTGTGGGTGAAACGCGGCAGCAGTGTCCCACAAACAGTCGTGGATTGAAGTGACCAATTTATTATAATTTTCTTCTTGAGGGATAATTATGGAGTAAGGATATTTGCCCAAGGTCTGGCTCTGCCGGGAATCGAACCCAGGTCTCTCGCTTGAGAGGCGAGAGCACTAACCACTGAGCTACAGGACGCCAATGTGATGCCATCGGATACGTAACACAATCGTGCAGGCTCCCACATCCATATCAACTGGTTCTTCCTCTCTGTGTTGCAGAACTACATGAAAATCAAATTGAAAATTGCAGTTGTAGATTATTTGTTGTAGATTGTATTTCAGTTGTTCCGCTGTGACCACCGATTGGATTATGAACGGCTCGTTCGGTTATAACTGGGTTGCAAAATGGGCGTGGGATAATTCCGTCCACTCCCAGTAGCCTCAGATACTGATTGTGTAACACTAGACGGAGCTACGAGCTGGTAAACAGATGGTGCAGTATATTTGTGTGGAACAGTGGAGCCTGCTCTCAAAGCGTGGCTTTTGATGATATTTTACTCCAAGCTTCCAAGGTCGACAATGACCTTTCACTGAACTCGGAGAAGCCACCCAGAATTGGCATTGAACGAGTTACAAGGATCATACATTATTAATAATAAGGATTTTAGAATCTGATATAGTGCCTTTCACATCGGTAGGACTTGTCAAAGAGCTTCACGTGATTCATAGTAAAGTAACTAGGCATTACGCAGGTAAACACCACAGCCCGTTTGGGCACGGCAATGCCTTAGAAAACAGCCATGAAGTGAACGACAAATTCTATTTGGGGGATTGTTGGCCGGGGCAGCGAGAGAAACTCTTCCCTTTGAGAATAGTAACATGGGATCTTAATGTCTATGTGAACAGGCACACGGTATCTTGGTTTAATGTCTTACTCCAAGGACGGCACCTCCAACAGTGTAGCCCAGCACTGCACTGGAGTGTCGGCCTACACTATGTGGGTTCAAAGGCCTGGTATGGGGCTCGAACCCACAACCTTTTACCTCAGAGGCAAGAATGTTATCGACTGAGACCTTGCATTTGATGTAGCGCCTTATCGCTTGCGGGGACGCTGCTGTGCGCAATTGGCTGCCGCGTTTCACCCAGAAAATATACAGTCAATTCACTTCACAGTATATTCTGTGAAGCGCTTTGTGACGTCTCAAAAACTTGGTAAGGCGCAGTATCAAATACAAGGATTATTATTATTACTATTATCATCACGTCTGCAAAACGTTTTAAAGCACTTCACAGAATATACTGTAAAGTGAATTGACTGTATATTTTGTGGACGAAACGTAGGTGTCGATTTTACTGACGCAAGAATAAAAGTACTGAAGTGAACGGAGCCGTGAATTTTTTTTGAAACTCTCTTGTTTCAGGAACCACGATCATGCAAATGACGGCTTATGACGCGGATGACCCCAACACAGACAACGCAGTTCTACGCTACAGCATCCTGAGTCAGACACCCAAGACCCCATCGCCGAACATGTTCTACATAGACCCCGAAAAAGGAGACATTGTTACTGTGGTGCCGCCCACAATGCTAGACCGGGAGGTAAGTGGAGTGTCCAGTTTTGTCTGCACGCTGTGTGGGTTGCTGGCTGCTCTTTCTCTGTCCAGAAGCCTCGCTAACAACTTGGGGAAGTCCAATAGCCTGACCCGCATCGCAGTTTGCTTTCAAAGCGAACTGCTGACAAAATGAATCTCTAATGGCAATAAAAACAAACCCAATTTGTGCTGAAGCCAGACGCTGTGATTTAATTGGGAAACCACCTCCTGCAGGGAGTTTGGAAGCCGAGCTTGGAATCAAATTGATTCCTTTTTAAACCTGATTTACGCTGCACTTTTTGCATCAAATTCCATGTAATGCGAGCATTACTATAACTAGATCCTGGCCTGCCCTGGAGGCTTGTGTCCGTGTTAACTGCACCTGCCGGCATCTCTCCTCTCGCCACTTGCTGGAAACAGACACTGCTGTTGCCTTTGCTTCCCCTCGAGCACCCACTTGTTCACTGAGTTCTGGGATGCATCTGCTCCTCCTTTCTTCACTTTCCCCTTCCTGGTGCCTCTCGTGTTCATCACTTACCCACACGTTGCCTGGACATTGGATACAGGTTACTGGTAGGAGAGCACACCTTTAACCTGCTACAACATTGGTGTCAGAAATACTCAAAGAAGAAAATAATCTGTCTTCAAAGAGGTCAGAAACATTGCTGTCCCCTTTCCCTCTGTTCCTTGAAATGGACAAATTGCAAAGTGTCTGCTTGCCCTATCGTGCTGTAATACGTCTGCTCCAATGGGTAGATCAAAAAATCTACAGAGGAGCCCTTTAAAGTGGCAACAAGTTGAAACTAAGGTGATTCCAGGGAAGGAAGGAGTTCTCTGTGGTTGTGTTGCTCAAAGCTGAGAAGGTGACGAGATGTTTTGATTAAGGTATTAATAACAAAGAGAGTTGTCAAGGCTGATTGGGAATGATTCAACGAGACAAATCCCAACCTAGGAGACTTAGTTTTTGAATTAGAGCTAAACTGGTTTGAAGCGAAACCAAACAAAGAGTTTTGAGAAATGGAGGTGTTTAATCGGGAGACATGAAAAAATTAGGGGATTAAACGAGATGGAGAAAGAGCCAGGAAATGGGATTAAAGGTATAAAGAACTGGGAACGATTTACAGAATTGGCTGGGCAGACACGATGGGATTGGTCGTTTATTCTTGTTTGTGTTGCGAACTTCACTGAAAGGTAGTTTCTCATGAGTGATACTTCCACATAGAGTTACTATCTCATTCATGTCCTTTAACAAAAAAGCATAACACCAGTATATTTAGTTCTGAACTACTGCATGCAACACTAAAGCCTCATGATGCAATGGGTTGGCACTGGAGGCTTGGCATTTATCCAGCAACATTAAAATGTTATTGTCTCATCCACTGCCTCATTACTAGAATTTATCGCTTAATTATATTCTGGTATCCAATTATTGCAAGTTGATTTATAGTTTTCCCCCCAGTTCTATTTTTTCCCCGGTGTAATTCATCCCATGTTTTTGTTTTTATGTATGCTTGTCGGTTTGTTTACTTCAGTTTTGATAAGTTCCTTTGTGCTCGATTTTTACCTCTGAAATTTGCTTTGTCCGTTTTGCTTCCGTCGAATTTCTTAACTTTCTCAGGTCTTACTGACAAAAATAAAAATTGGTAGGTGTCTTCAGCTTCTGGGATCTACGCCCAACTCCTACCATTATAAGATCTTGGAAAAAACAATGAGTATCCAGCACTGAATAATTTAACACAGAATCATTAAATACACAGAACATTGTGTGATTCAATCCCAAGATCTAATGAAGCCCCAATTTGTTTGCATTGGTTATTTTTTTTCAACCATTCTTATAGCAAGGCTTCACTCTGTGGTCTTCAGTTTTCTGATGCATTCCTTATACTTATTTATAGAAGAAACGCTTGTACATTGAAAAGCTTTACCTTGCTCATCTCTGGTGAGGATCTGGTACTTTAATGCTAACGCCTTGTCATCCCTGTGACAAGTTTCCTGTTGCTGCTTAAAATAACACAAACAAAACACATCCTAACAATCGTAAGGAGTCTTTGTTTCTTAATGTGAGGCAGTGCTGATAATGATCACAGAGCAAGCTTTAGAAAAAGCTACTCGTGTTATCTATGTCGAGATCGCTAAGATACTTGCTCCTTGATTCATCCTCGACTTTCAATCTTCATTCACTGAATCTGATCGACATAAAAGATACCCAACCCCCCGCACACACATACACACAAGTTACAGATCAGAAAGGTCAAGAGAAAGAGATCAGAAACAGTCTATCTCTGTTGCCTCCACTGTGCTACACACTCAAAGCGCAAAGAACATTGTGTGGAATCATGTTGGAATGAATCACGGTGATGAACTGAAGTAGTTCATTTCTGCTGTAAATGCTCGGGATTCAGTTCAGATACTGTTCAGAGAAAATCCAGGTCCGATCCAGGATTTTATGAAACAAGATGACTTGACTGTAGAGCTGTCAATTCAGTCCTGCATTAATTGTGGCTCAAAGCGTCAAGTCCTCGATACATGACACTCTGTTACAGGATAGATTGGATGAACAATCTCGGTTTTACGTAACATTTTGCATTAATAAATCAGATCTGGGCTATAATCCAGGGATGTGTTCCTCTTAGAGCCTTTAGAGCCACACACAGTCACTACACTTTACGGTACATTCTGTGCAGCGCTTTGGGACGTCCTCCTGACGTAAAAAAGGCGCTATACCAAATGTGAGGATTATTACTAAAAACCATGTGAGCACTTTGAGTCGGCTTGAATACGTGATAAGGTGCTGTATGAGATTGCAGGATTATCATTACCCATCACCAGCAGTGTTAGTGCTCGGAGTGAATTTAGGTCGGTGAATTTGGATAAAGTGCGCTCCTTTGAGCCTGTGGAAGTAGAAATCAATGCACACCATCATTACAGTAAGGCAGAAAGCAAGTGCCAGTAGTCTTTCCCTGGTGTGGGCTGAAAATCGTTGAAAGCCAAACAAAAAAACCTCCATAGGGTTCAGACTTAACTCAGCAAAGCTGCAATCCATTCCATGCTCTGTGATGATAATAATTCTGAACCATTTCAAGGATGAGGTGCAGCCTGAATTATTTTAACTGTACTTCAAAAGTAGAACAGAAACTTGTTGTGCCCAGACTGGGGCTCAGTTGAGTATGGCTAAGCTATGTTCTTGACCAACCTGTTACTTTCATCTTCCGCAAATTTGTGGTGTGGTATTTCTAGACAATCTGATTGAAATATTAAGCTTCTACCAGGACTGTACTTAAATCCCCTTCTCATCCCCAGCTCGGGGGTGCCTACGGTCACCTTCTCCCTCCCCCTGGCTCAGTGTCGAGCTCTGCCACTGTCATCCTGGTGAGGGGTGCTATGTAAGTGAAACTTGTTGTCGCTGTTGGGTGCCCAGGCAGCCAGTGTTGGGCTCTTTGAGGCATTCTCTCGCTGTGAAAGACACTGTATAAATGTAAGTTGTGTTATATTGTATTGAAAGACGATCTTTCAGAAACGTTTCCTAAGACAGGAGGTGAATATATAGATCTTATGCAGAGTGAACAGACATTTAAGATCAGCGCCTGTCTCCAGGTGGAATTTGACAATGATTTGATTTTAGTTGGGGGCAGGGCGCAGAGTTAAATAATTCAGCAACAATTTCATGTTTTGATCAGATATTCTGTAAAGTAGCAATGTATGTGAAGTACTTGAAATGATTCGATTAATCTCCTCTGTTGGCCTCTGATGCAAAGACCTGGAACGATCATAAATACAGTCACTACGCTTTGCAGTAAATCGTGTGGAGAGCTTTCAGGCTTCCTCAGCGATGTGACAAGTGAAAATATCAAATAAAAAGAAATAATCCTTCCACTTGATATGATGGCTTTTCGTATCATTGAGATAATAATAAGGGAAAAACTTCCTTCTCTTCTTGAACAGTGCCATATATTTAACGTTCACTGGACAGGCAGACACTCCAAGGTCCAAGGGAGATTTGAGAGGTTCGGATGGGATCTAGGTCTCTGGTCAGTTTGCCAATGCCATACTACTATGCGCATTACTAAGTACAACACGAAATGAACAAAGTTGAAAAAAAACTCCTCCCGGCAGGAGGAAAGGGCTGAGCATTGCAAATAATGTCTTTCGCTTAATCATAATTTCAGTGGCCGTACGCTAACAATTAGGCGAGGAAGAACGCTGATAAAGATTAATAGTAATACTGTCGACTTAAATAAGGAAAGCTATAAGTCCTCTGTAATTAGATGTCTTTGAAAGGCTTAAACTCTAGATTACCCTAGTATAGATGAGCCTGGGTCAAAAGCGCTAGTCAGAATCTGCCAGCCCAGAAAAAATCTTGAAATAAATTAAACCAACTGGGATTAATTTACACTGCTCATAGTATTTTTGTGAGGCTGTAAAAATGTCATCCATTGACTTCTACAGTGTATCAGAGTGGGTGGGAAGAAGGCAATCAATGGAACTTCCAAACTAACTCTTCCAAAACCGCAATAAAAAGATTTGAGAGATTGCTTGGATATAATTATGATAATGAATTGTTTTACCTTCAAAAAAGAAAATCTGTTTAGCGGTTTATTGAAGCTTTGCGTGCGATTTTTGACCCTCCCCTTTCCCCCACCCTCCCTCCAATATTCTACCTGCTCAGACATCATTTTGTCACCATTTTCTGGACGTATCGACAGCCAGAAATTTAAGGCAGGATGGACAGAACCGTTTTAATTAATCGATGTAACAAATAATCTGCAATTATGAGTGTTGCTTAGAATCAGCCCAGCGGTAGAAACCATTACTTTAACTGATGCATCTCCCAATTACCGGTGCAAAGGTCAGCCCGTCGAAAGCTTAATCACTGGAAAATATATGTAATTACCAAGTAAATGTAATCCATTCACAGTACTTCACAAAAAGGGTTGCGGTGATGTTTTCTCTCCTCCCCTCCTTTCCCCTCCCCCCATCCCGAACAACAGCAATTTGAGCAGTCAAACC